ATGTCCACTGATTGGTCCACCTCAGCAATCACTAGACACCCCAACGACCACCAATCAGGAACATACAGGACACCTGTGATTAGGGCAGAAGGAGAGGAAAAAACACAAAAAGACAAAGGATACCTGTATCCGTAACAGTGGAAAATAAGTATTTGGTCAATAACAAAAGTTCTCAATACTTTGTTGTATACCCTTTGTTGGCAATGACACAGGTCAAACGTTTTCTGTAAGTCTTCACAAGGTTTTCACACACTGTGGCTGGTATTTTGGCCCATTCCTCCATGCAGATCTCCTCTAGAGCAGTGATGTTTTGGGGCTGTCGCTGGGCAACACAGACTTTCAACTCCCTCCAAAGATTTTCTATGGGCTGAGATCTGGAGACTGGCTAGGCCACTCCAGGACCTTGAAATGCTTCTTACGAAGCCACTCCTTCGTTGCCCGAGCGGTGTGTTTGGGATCATTGTCATGCTGAAAGACCCAGCCACGTTTCATCTTCAATGCCCTTGCTGATGGAAGGAGGTTTTCACTCAAAATCTCACGATACATGGCCCCATTCATTCTTTCCTTTACACGGATCAGTCGTCCTGGTCCCTTTGCAGAAAAACAGCCCCAAAGCATGATGTTTCCACCCCCATGCTTCACAGTAGGTATGGTGTTCTTTGGATGCAACTCAGCATTCTTTGTCCTCCAAACACGACGAGTTGAGTTTTTACCAAAAAGTTATATTTTGGTTTCATCTGACCATATGACATTCTCCCAATCCTCTTCTGGATCATCCAAATGCACTCTAGCAAACTTCAGACGGGCCTGGACATGTACTGGCTTAAGCAGGGGGACACGACTGGCACTGCAGGATTTGAGTCCCTGGCGGCGTAGTGTGTTACTGATGGTAGGCTTTGTTACTTTGGTCCCAGCTCTCTGCAGGTCATTCACTAGGTCCCCCTGTGTGGTTCTGGAATTTTTGCTCACCATTCTTGTGATCATTTTGACCCCACGGGGTGAGATCTTGCGTGGAGCCCCAGATCGAGGGAGATTATCAGTGGTCTTGTATGTCTTCCATTTCCTAATAATTGCTCCCATTGTTGATTTCTTCAAACCAAGCTGCTTACCTATTGCAGATTCAGTCTTCCCAGCCTGGTGCAGGTCTACAATTTTGTTTCTGGTGTCCTTTGACAGCTCTTTGGTCTTGGCCATAGTGGAGTTTGGAGTGTGACTGTTTGAGGTTGTGGACAGGTGTCTTTTATACTGATAACAAGTTCAAACAGGTGCCATTAATACAGGTAACGAGTGGAGGACAGAGGAGCCTCTTAAAGAAGAAGTTACAGGCCTGTGAGAGCCAGAAATCTTGCTTGTTTGTAGGTGACCAAATACTTATTTTCCACAATAATTTACAAATAAATTCATTAAAAATCCTACAATGTGATTTTCTGGATTTTTTTTCCTCAATTTGTCTGTCATAGTTGACGTGTACCTATGATGAAAATTACAGGCCTCTCTCATCTTTTTAAGTGGGAGAACTTGCACAATTGGTGGCTGACTAAATACTTTTTTCCCCCACTGTAGTACCACCTCGGGGCACTATGAGTACCTCGTCATTCCATACGGTCTGATGAATGCTCCTTCAGTCTTCCAATCGTTTGTTGATGAGATTTTCCGGGACCTGTAATGAACAGGGTGTAGTGGTGTATATAGATGACATTCTAATATACTCCGCTACACGAGCCGAGCATGTGTCCCTGGTGGGTCGGGTGCTCGGTAGACTGTTGGAGCATGACCTGTATGTGAAGACGGAGAAATGTCTGTTCTTCCAAGAGTCCATCTCCTTCCTAGGACACTGCTTGTCCACGTCAGGTGTGGAGATGGAGATTGACCGCGTTTCGGCTGTGCGTAATTGGCAGACTCCAACCACGGTGAAGGAGGTGCAGCGGGTCTTGGGTTTTGCCAATTACTACCGGAGGTTTATCCAGGGCTTTGGGCAGGTAGCGTTTCCCATTACCTCCTTGCTAAAGGGAGGGCCGGTGCGTCTGCAGTGGTCAGCTGAGGCGGACAGGGCTTTTAGGCATCTGAAGGACCTGTTTACTTCGGCTCCGGTGCTGGCTCATCCGGACCCTTCCTTGGCATTCCAGGTTGAGGTGGATACGTCCGAGGCTGGGATCGGTGCTGTACTGTCTCAGCGCTCGGGTACGCCACCAAAACTCCGCCCCTGTGCTATCTTTTCTAAGAAGCTCAGTCCGGCGGAGCGCAATGATGTGGGGGACCAGGAGCTGTTAGCTGTGGTTCAAGCCCTGAAGGTGTGGAGGCATTGGCTTGAGGGGGCTAAACACCCTTTTCTCATTTTGACTGACCATCATAACCTGGAGTACATCCAGGCAGCGAGGAGGTTGAATCCTCGTCAGGCAAGATGGGCCATGTTCTTCACTCGATTTGTGTTTACTCCCACTTACAGACCAGGTTCCCAGAACGCTAAGGCAGACGCCCTGTCCCGACTGTATGACACAGAGGAGAGGTCCATTGAGCCCACTCCCATACTCCCGGCGTCGTGTCTGGTGGCACCGGTGGTGTGGGAGGTTGATGCGGGCGTTACGTACCGAGCCTACTCCCCCCCCCCCCCCCCAGTGTCCGGAGGGTCGGATGTACGTGCCGCTCGAGGTTTGTGATCGATTGATCTATTGGGCTCACACTTCACCCTCCTCTGGTCATCCTGGCATCGGTCGGACAGTGCACTGTCCTAGTGGGAAGTACTGGTGGCCCACTCTAGCCAAGGACGTGAGGGTTTATGTTTCCTCCTGCTCGGTGTGCGCCCAGTGTAAGGCACCTAGACACCTGCCCAGAAACAAATTACAACCCCTACCCGTTCCACAACGGCCGTGGTCCCACCTATCGGTGGACTTTGTGACGGACCTTCCCCCCTCGCAAGGGAACACCACGATCCTGGTCGTTGTGGATCGGTTTTCGAAGGCCTGCCATCTCATTCCTATGCCAGGTCTCCCTACAGCCCTACAAACTGCTGACGCCCTGTTTACACACGTCTTCCGGTACTACGGGGTACCTGTGGATATTGTGTCAGATCGGGGTCCCCAGTTCACCTCTAGAGTCTGGAGGGCGTTCATGGAACGTCTGGGGGTTCTCGATTAGCCTCCTTTCCAGTGTGTGTTAGGTTATCAGCCGGTCCTGGCACCTTGGCATCAGAGCCAGATCGAAGCGCCTGCGGTGGATGAGTGGTTTTGGCGCTCGGAAGAGACCTGGAACGCTGCTCATGTACACCTGCAGCGGGCTATCAGGCGACAAAAGGCGAGCGCCAATCGCCACCGCAGTGAGGCTCCGGTGTATGCACCGGGGGATCGGGTCTGGCTCTCGACCCGAAACCTGCCCCTTCGCCTGCCCTGCCGGAAGCTGGGTCGGCGGTTTGTGGGGCCATTTAAAGTCCTGAGGAGATTGAACGAGGTTTGTTATAGGTTACAACTTCCTATTAATTACCGTATTAACCCCTCGTTCCATGTGTCTCTCCTCAGGCCGGTAGTAGCTGGTCCACTCCAGGAGTCTGAGATACGGGAGGTTCCTTCGCCCCCACTGGACATCGAGGGGGCTCCGGCGTACTCGGTCCGTTCCATCGTGGATTCGAGGCGTTGGGTGGGGGGCCTGCAGCATCTCGTGGAGTGGGAGGGGTACGGTCCGGAGGGACATCCTAGATCCCTCCATGTTGAGGGATTTCCACCAGAGTCATCCGACCCACCCTGCTCCGCGTCCTCCTGGCCGTCCCCGAGGCCGGGGTCGGCGCACGGCTGGAGCCGCGCGTCAAGGGGGGGGGGGGGGGGGTACTGTCACGGATTCAGCCGAGGCTGCCCCTCCTCCTTGCTCGGGCAGGCTTCGGTGTTCGTCGTTACCGGAGTACTAGCTGCTACCGATCCATGTATCTATGTTCGACTTGTTCTGTCTTTATTGGTTACACCTGTTTCCCATTATGTAGTGATGTCTTCCCTATTTAACCCTCTGTCGTACACTGTGTGTTGTGTGTGATTGTTTCATGTTTCGGCAGTTGTTAGTGTGCGGGTTTGTTCCCTCCCTGTGTGGAGGTTGTTGTTATTTATTTTACCTTCGAGTAAAGTACGTCTTCTGATCAGCTCTGTGTCCTGTGCTTGACTTCGCCTACCGCATTTCACTGACGCCCTGACACAAACTTTTGACTGGTAGTGTATATAGCGTATAAACTACGCTTTAGTCCCATGTCATCAAATGAATAATTAAAATAAAGAATGATGAAAGATACAATATTAATCAAAATCTGCAATAAAAATGGTTTATTAAAACAACCATTAAAAAGTATATAAGGGATTGAAAAATAAAATACATAGTTCCTGAAAGCCCAAAAAGTTTAAATGAAAATAAATCTATGAAATTGGTGTAGATGTAAATTCGAGGGTATGGCCGTATCATTCCCTGGTTAAAAGGGGAAAAGCACCACTTTCCTAACCGTAGGAGTAGAAGCTGCTGTCAGCCTACCATCCTTGTAATTCTTTAATTTAGGCTAAATATCTGTATCAAATTTAGAGGCTGCAATGGATGTGGATCAATGATTACAATAGTGTGAGGGCATCAGATGTACAGCACATCTAGTCAAAGGGTTGGGCTTCTTAGCTTATCTTGCTAATCACAGGAGAAGCTGTAGATGCTTGAATGACATTTAGAAGCTCATCTTCCTAGTTACAGGAGTAGGAGCTAATAAGGGATCAAAAGACCCAGATGGAATGTTGGTGTTGAGTAGCCTATAGTTGACCTTCCTTAAGGAGTAGAAAATAATGGTAAGCTAGTCCACTGACTGCCTGGTTAAAATTTAGTAGCATTAGGGGCATTTGAGTAAGATATTGCTAGTCCCACTGTTTTTTTGAAAACAGAAATTAACAACAAAAATCGAAATAAATTGTAGTATTGGGGCCAGTAGTGGTGTCCTCCTCAGATGTAGCCTGGCAAAAGCAACTGACATGGGCTGCACGTCTTCCAGGCTACCCCTCAGAGGTCCCAGAGGAGTCGCAGGTGACCAAGCGTTTCCAGGCCTTCTGGACTCCCCAAAAGAAGCCCTGGATGCCCTTCCTCATCTTGGATAATTTAACTGGCAAGAAGATGAAAATATGAAATAATTTCAGATAGATAATTGTCTGATAAAACCTATATTTATTACTTCTTTATACTTCTTTATATCTAATTGTCGCATGAGAACATTTCCCCCCGGGAATACTCACTCACGGGTGGAGAATCCACAGCAATGTACACCTCTGGCTGCTCTGTAGTGTCTCTAAGGGCGATGCTCACGTTGGACTGTGATCAGAATTCAAGGATGCACAATTAAACTTCAATTTCATTTCCTTTACATATTCCTATAATTATCCAATTATACCTACTGGTGCCGATATCAAAAAGTACAACCAATGACCATTCAAGAGTAATCTGAGCTTGTCTTACCTTTCTGCCGGTGGCATAATGCACCCCCTCAGATTCCGCCTCCTCCACATCATCCCAGCTGCAGGAATCACTGCATGAGTCTTCAAGGTCTGAGGCCTCGCTGTCATATGGGTTGGGCACTGAGGGTTTCAGGATGGCCAGTAGCTTGTGAGAAACAATGACAGAGACAATGGAAAGCATTTCCTGATCCTCAAAGAAATCCTCAATTTTCAAGTAGCGTTTCAAACGCTTGACCTTCCCTAGGTCAGTGTAGATGGCATCTGCCAGCTTCGATGTCATCTTAGAATCCAAACTTGTTTGCTGGCTCTCCATGTTCTCAATCAAATATTTGGCCACCTCATCATCAAACAATCTGATCAGCTCTGTCACCATATCACTGATCTGGATGCACTGATGCTTCTTGGTCCTTTTTGGCATGCGGCATATCTTCTTGACAAGCTTCATCAGGACTTGTTCTAGTAGACGCTCCCTAATGAAGCTGGTGGAACCGGATGTCACTTGTTCCACAGTGGACCGCTCCGGCTGTTCAATCACAGTCTTGATGCTGCTCTGTTCAGCGTTCTTATTCAAAGATTGACGGGTCGTCATTTCATTAAACAAAGCAGTCAATTCTTTCAAGTTGAGTGTAGATTCCAGATTTTTGGTGCCTTGAAGTTTGGATGGTGCTTCCATAATTCCATTCGTGACAAGGCAGACAATGTCCTTGTGCAGCTTGGGTGCCTTGTGGCACAGTATCTTCTGTAGTGCTTCCTCTGTGCCATAGCGTTGAGTCAACTTTCTATGCACAGCCAGCACCAACTGAAAGATGTCTGTTGCCTTCAGGCAGACATTTGCTTCGCTCCACCTGTTAGTCACCCTCACCCACAGAGCACTGGACAGCTTGTTGGTCACATCCTCAACTAGGGTCCAGCCAGACAGTTTAACCTGGTTCCGAGGAACAATCAGAGACAGCAGCCGGACAATGATATCCATCACCGCCTCTACGTGAACAATAATATACACAGGTTGGGACGTCTTCACCTCAGCCGATCCACATCGGCTCTTAACCATGACCTTGTCCTGGTGTGTCCTCAGGCAGATGTCTGAGGATAGCGGCCGGACAGAGACTTTGGGGAAGATTGAACCCAGATGATTGACTTCCCTGGTGAGTGCACTCGCAATGGCTGTTGTCATCTCCCCGCTGCCGTGGCTCAGAGCTCGCCTCAGGGCATCAGGGGAGCCCATGTGCTCCTCCAGCTCTCTGCAGAGGGCACTGACAATCCTTGCACTTGAGAGGCGGGAGTACGGCATCTTGAGATCCTTTGTCATTTCCAATGCTGAGGTAACGTCTGGGGAATCGGACATGTCCCGAAGGACAGAAACCACCATGTCCATTGCCACATCAGAGAGAGGGGTGGTTGGGGATGACACAGGTGATGCAAAGTCCTCCGGGTCAAGCTCATACCCATGAAGCAGCTTGGTGATCAGGTCTACAACCACCTCTGGTGTGGAATGTAGACTGGGAGAGTCCTCTTCGGAGGTCTCAATCATACAGGATTCAATTTCACTCAAAGCCCTTCTGACCATGATGTTTGTCTCAGAGACATCGGGTACATGGTTCTCTTTGAGGGGTTTGAAAGCTGCCTCACACAGCTGTTTCACATGGATGTTCTCGGAAGACATCACTGCTTCTTGAATAGTAGGTGGTTGATTGGCTATGGTTGTAGCCATGATTGTCCTTACCATCAGAGGACAAAGCTTCGCCACCAGTTCATACTGTAGCTTAAACGTCTCAGAGCGGCTGTCGTTCATGGGTACCTCAGGGATGTCAAGGCCCTGAAATAGCATCTTCTGGACCAGTTTGCCCACTACCCCCTCTAGCAGGCAATTAGTAGGGCTTGGGGTCTCATTCCCTCTGCCACTGGTATTGGAGGGTAACTCTTGCTTCTTGTGAAGGCCATGAATGGCCTCACTTTGCGCAATACAACCCTCAACAGGCAACTCCTCCACTGCAATCGTGTGCACAACCACATTGACGTCATTGGTGTGGGGTCCAATCAAAAGCTTCTTATAGGTTGGGTCTGTGACATATTGGAAAACACCTCCGCCTGTCTTTAAGTTCAGAGCTTTGTCTCCAAATGTCCTATCCAGGAGACACAATATTGACTCAGATAGTGGGTCACTGAACTCCTGGAGCTCTAGGCTGTTCTCAACTTCGAAGGGGCTGAGGCTGCAGCTGATCTGGGAGCTGTAATAAGAAGCATGCAGCTCTCTCTTGGACTCCAATGTGTCATGCAGCTTTGGATATAGGGCATCGGCAATGGAGTCTGTGAGCCGCTCATCCAAATTAACAGAGAAAATCTTATCCAGGCTTTTGTTGGAAGCCTCCTCTTTGGTTTTCCTCAGGATGTCCCGCACAGCTTCCCTTGGGTCAGAACCAGAAGTGCAAACATGTCCATTGGATGGTGTCTGGGTGCCAGTAAGTGATCCCTTGATCAAGAAACTCTGGAGTTCGGTGGCCACTTCCTTAGACATCTCCCTTCTGATCTTCAGAACATCGGGTGTCAGTGTAGCTTTCTCTGAGGTTAAAAGTGTCAGAACTCTGGCCAAAGCTGAGGGGCATCTCAGCTGATCACCCAGACATTCTAAGTCATCAGAGCAGGACTCCTTTGCAACTTTAAATATAACCGAACTAATAAGGTTCTGAGCCACAGCAGATGATTTTGCTGATGCTGCCTGGAGTGTCTCTAAGCTAACCTGATTGGAGGCAGCCATCTTTGTTGTTGCCTTGGCGATTATGTTGCTCACAGGCTTGATGGAGTTGCTCATAAACTGGGATCTCAGGCTTTCAAAGACTCCCTTCACTCTTTCTGCCTTCAGGTCTTTGTCACTGGCAACTACACACGACTGAACAGCACGGAGAGATACAGGGAGAGGAAAGCCCTGGGGTGAAGCCACATCTGTGATATGGATGGAGGACTCTGAGGATGTCCCCTCAAGGCGCCTCTGCAGCAACTCTATCATCTCCAGGACTCTGGCATTGTCCTGTGGTGAGATGGAGCACTCTCCTGAGAGGTTTACACTGTCTAGTGTGTTCTGGATTCCCAGCAGTGTTGCACTGAGTATCCTCCTGTCACAGGGAAGCACTCCCCTCAGAGCAGAGGAGGACCGGCTCTCTGATGTGTTGCATGGTGTTGATGCACCAGAGAGGTCACTCCCACTGTCATCTTCTTTTTTGGTCCTCATTATAATAAGGATTTCATCAATGATCTCATCACTGTAGACTTCTAAGTCTTCTGTGATCACATGGGCCGTTGGGGTGGCGATACTCAGAGTACGACCCCCAAGAAGTTTGAAGGATGTCTCCGACCCGCTGCCAAGAGGGCCAACAGACACACATCGCAGTGTTTCACTGGATGACGAAGAACAACTGGAGGAGAGATCAAGCAGCTCCTCCTCAAAAGTCGGAGAGGAGGAAAGAATTCCCTCCATTTTCAGGACAGCGATAACATTCCCAAGTGTTGAATCTACAAGGTCCTCACCTAGTGGGCTACTCCTTAAGTGGCTGACAAACACCCTTGTAGGAGAATGGGAGACTGTGGTGGGAGATGGAGAGCCCTCCTCAACATTCACACTTGACTGCGCCTCCACAATTTCTAAAGACTGGGAGATGACGGAACATACAAGTACCCCAGCCCGCTCAATAATGGAGGGGAGGGAAACATCCGAAGAGTCTGGAGGTGTCACACTCCCTCCTTGGACATTTTTATCTAGGCTGAGGCAGATCGATGAGACCTCAGTAGCAAATTGATGCTCCCGCACAGGGCTGCTGCTAGAGTCAGGTCCAGGAACAGTTGAAATAGATCTCACAGCCAGGGAGCAAGGAATGTCACTCATGCTGTCTAAAAGCTTGATGGAGCACGAGGAGGAGGCGGAGGTGCTCCTGGCTGACCCCTGCTTGGGAGGCATGTCAGTGGCTGAGAGTTTCAAAGTGGTAGACACCAGGGAGCTGCTGCTAGATGAGCCCTGGCTGGAGGGGAAGCTGGTGTTGTAGGAGGAGGAGAAACTGGCCAAGGTCTGTTTGAAGGGGATGACATGTCCATGACTAAAAGGACCTATCACATATGGGCTAGCTGAATGTGGTGTGCAGCCCACCACAGCAGATGAGGTTTCAGAGTCATCAGTGGCAGTGCATTGTCTGTCAGATTGTGACCTGCCAGACTGTGACATAGCAGATTGTGGTGTAGCAGAACATGGCCTAGCAGCCTGGAGGTTATTAGTAGAGATCTGATTGGAGGCTGAGTGAGCTTGTTCCTCGCTGGACAGAGAAGTGCTGCTGCTAGAGTCACATCCAGAAACATTTGAAATGGAGCTTAAGGCCAGGGAGCAAGGAATGTCACTCCTGCTGTCTGAAAGCTTGATGGAGCACGAGGAGGGGCTGCTGGAGGGGAGGTTGGTGTTGGTCTCTTCGCTGGAGAGCAAGGAGGAGAAAGGGTCCAAGGTCAGTTTGACAGGAACGACATGCCCACGACCAACCACAGCAGATGAGGTTCCAGAGTAGTCAGTGGCAGTACGTGGTTTAGCAGATTGTGGCCTGGCAGATTGTGGCCTGGCAGATTGTGGCCTGGCAGATTGTGGCCTGGCAGACTGTGGCCTGGCAGACTGTGGCCTGACAGACTGTGGCCTGACAGACTGTGGCCTGACAGACTGTGGCCTGACAGACTGTGGCCTGGTATATTGTGGCCTAGCAGCCAGGAGGTTCTCAGTAGAGATCTGACTGGAGGAAGAGTGTGCTCGTTCCTCACTGGACAGAGAACTACTGCTACAATAAGTCTGGACAGCAGTGACTGGTTCATCGATGGAGATTGAGGAGGACCTACTGTCAGGACTCTGAGTGAGATAGATAATATTGACTTTGGAGAGTAGGGAGGTACAGCTGACAGAGCCCTGGGTTGAGTCTTCGTTGGTGTCTTTGCTGATGGGGAGCACACTCTCTGCAGCACTTTCTGAAGCTCTCTGCCTTATGAAGTCAACCATGGCAGGGATCAGGTTGCTATTTACCTCCTCCAATAATGAGCTCTTTATGTGCCCAATCATGAGCAGCAGGTCCCTAACAGTAATCTGTATATATGAACACAGAAAGGTACATCGACAGGATTAATCAGGATTTATGTTCCAAATCAAAACACGTTAATCACTTTTTTAGCAATTACTGTATATCAAATGTGTGGTCTCCAAATCAGTCATTGTTGCAACTTAATCATCTGTCTCATCTAGAAGTTTTACATTTACCAAAGTGGAAAATATATATCACATCATATCATCCAAATACTTGGATACAGATTTCTCAGGAGATGAGAGACAGGGAAGCAGTAATATGTCTACAGCCCCCAAAGAGTGAAAGCTGGGAACATGTTCATGACCAAAATGACCTACCACTGACGGGCTAGTTGAATGTGGTGAGCAGGTCATCACAGTAGACAAGGTTCCAGAGTGATCCGAGCCACTGCTGGGTCTTTCAGTTGGTGGTCTGGCAGTACGGGGTCTGGTAGTTTGTGGTCTGGCAGTATGTGGTCTGGCAGTATGTAGCCTAGCAACCTGGAGGTTCTCAGTCAAGATCTGACTGGAAAGAGTGTCCATCGAGGAGGTGGAGTGTCTGGAGGGAGAGTCCATGCCCAGAGGTGTGTGTGTCTCCATGCCCAGAGGTCTCCAATCTCCCATCTGGCTACCAGGCTAAGAGAGACGGGTAAGAGAGAGAGGCACATGGATGAAGATACCAACAGAAACACTGAGGTCCTACTGCTGCTTAGCAACTGTGAGTTGATATCAGCCCTAGGAGTGCCGCTGTTCCATCCTTACCTGTCCTATCAGAGACCAGGGGATTCTGCGCTCCAGGTGCAGCTCCCTGCACACTTCTCTTTCCAGCTCCTCAAGCCTGAGGCGCCGTTTCACATCCCAAGCCAGTTCGGCCAAGTAAAGGTTCTTCCCCTCTTTCATTTCACTCTGAAACCTTCACATACAAGGGAACATAAAACGTGATTTACCTTTATTTTTCTACAGCTCAAACTGTCCACCATATCTATTTCTTAAGTTATTGCTAGATAGGAGGTTGATGTGATGCCACACCTTTGCTTAGGTTTTTTAACAATTTTAGTAAAATATTCGAATAGCACTCACGTCTTCTTGAAGTAGTTTCTACCCTTGGCAATGAGCCATTCTCTAATATCCGTCAGTGAGATGTGGGATGGAACCTCCCCTTGCTGCTGCAAGACTAGGAACTGCTTCAGAAGCATTTTCTGAGAGAGAGAGAGAGATAGAGAGAGAGAGAGAGAGAGAGAGAGAGAGAGAGATAGAGAGAGAGAGAGAGAGAGAGAGAGAGAGAGAGAGAGAGAGAGAGAGAGAGAGAGAGAGAGAGAGAGAGAGAGAGAGAGAGAGAGAGAGAGAGAGAGAGATTAATTTGCACCCTTACCTTCCACAAGTTTTTTCTAGTCTTGTCACGTGATCTGAAAACCCTTTCCTGATCAATGAGTGACAGCAAATTACATACACAGTTGAAATATCTAACACACATGGAAAGGTGTGTCTTACAATATAGCTTTTGTGTTTTCATAATTGTGTATCTAGAAAGTAGACCACTCTAACCTGTTGGGCACAGCACTGCTTCTCCCACAGCAACTGAACTGACTTGATGTAGCTACTGTAATGATTGTACTCTTTACGAGTACACAGCACCTGAAAGGGAGGAGCCACAAAAGAGCCATTTTAGAGGAAGTTCATGTGTACAGACACCCAATCCCAATCCCAAATCTACCTCTAACCCCTACCCCAATATTGATTGATTTTGCCTTTATTTAGCCAGGTAAGTCATTAAGAACACATTCTCTTTTACAACCTGCACTAACAACGACCATATGCACTTGTAGATTTAGATTAGTGTAAACTAAGCAAAATGGCAAAAATGTCACCTAGCCATCATATTGCTTACACCTGTCCAATTTTATCAGTTCTATACAAGTGTCACTTTTAGATTTTGTAAAGAAAAATGAGGTTTGCCATGCCTTCTCATTTGAGGTGATGAGGCCTTTCTTCACCAGCCGCTTCTTCCTCTCCGGATGGCGGAAAAACCACTTCAGATGTTTGTCGTGGAGGCAGTTATAACTAACATCAATTACTCTCATGTTGGGGTCCGACAGGTCAAACCCTGGGGTCTCCTGATGGAGCTGTGGATAGTGTTTTAACAAACCTCAATGTCAATGGATACTACAGTGGGAATGGTTCTGGAATTAGGACTGGAAATGGGAGGGACATAATTTAAAAAATATCATTATGGGACATAAAAATAAAATAAAAAATGAGAATCTCAGATCATTTGGAATGTCATGCTATCACACTAACCTTCTCCCCCAGTTTTCCTCTGAAGAATACAGGGGATGTCCTCTCTGGGACATCCTGTGACCCCTACAAAGACAGAGACAATCATGACAAAACTTTTTAGACGTGGGGTTTTGGTAAGGGTTTTGATAGTAGACCCCCATCCCTGTCACTTGGTTTGCAATAATTAAACCTTTTGCCAATTCACTCTACATTAAACATTTTGAATCAAGCTCATATCTAAAACTAATTTGTTTGATCCATTTACATTGTTAAACTATTCTTAAAGTAGTCAACTAGCCAAAGGCCTACATGATGACTGATTCTGTAGTCTACATATTCATCCCATAGGCTTTCATCATCCATCTTTATAATTATACAAATGTGAAGCGACATTAATATGAAGAACGAACAAAGCATTATCCTAGGCCTAGTCACATTTTCTTCTTCTTTGCCCCCACTTTTTGACATAGTAGGCATATTGAAACTAATCTAAAAGCAAATGGGAGACACCCATCTTCTGAGCCAAAAAGTTATACAGCCCATGTGTGCTAGACTTGTGCAACTAATATTGTAAACAAGTGATGTCATAACTGAAACATTAATATCCTGTGTCTCCAGAAAAGGTAGGCCCTATGCCCCCCAAATGTCCGCTATCTGATAGACCTATGTTGTTGTATTGATATGCAAACTATGAAAGGATATTGTAGCCTAAACCTATTGATATAGCCTACAGGCCTATTTACTGCGTGCCCGCCCAATAAAGCGCACCTCCCGTTGTGCCTGGGCTTGCCGTAGCAGGTGCACTCTGTCGCCAAGCCTTCCACAGAATCATTCCTCAACCCTAAAATGATTTCGAAACTGTCTATTATTTGCAGTGATGGATTTAAAGCATTATCACAACTTACAGACAGTTTGATGTGGTGCTTCAATGCACAAAGAGTCGGAAAACCGTGTGCACTTTGCCCATACACTACCTGTGGTGCCTGTTAACAAAGCCACAAAATTGCACCTGTTACCTCTCTTGGTCCATGAGAGCTCAATTTGGATGCTATTATGCCCCTAGCCTATAGATTGAAGAGGGTGCAACCTCGCGTAGACCTATGTACTTTTGCCACTGAAGTCCTATTGAAAACAATGACTTGTCAGCAAGTTCCATGCACTGTTTGAACGAGCCATGTGTACCCAGGTAGGCTACACTTGATTTGCACTTTTCTGATTTCAATTAGTCCTAGTGGGCACACATTTTGTATACATCTGGCCCTTCATTGGACACTGTGTTAACAAACCTCCAAACGAGCTTCAATGCCATACAACACTCCTTCAGTAGCCTCCAACTGCTCTTAAACACTAGTAAAACTAAATGCATGCTCTTCAACCGAACGCTGCTTGCACCCGCCCACCTGACTAGAATCACTACTCTCGACGGGCTAGAGTATGTGGACAACTACAAATATCTAGGTGTCTGGTTAGACTGTAAACTCTCCTTCCAGACTCACATTAAGAATCTCCAATCCAAAGTTAAATCTAGAATCGGTTTCCTATTTCGCAACAAAGCCTCCTTCACTCATGCTGCCAAACATGCCCTCGTAAAACTGACTATCCTACCGATCCTTGACTTCGGCGATGTCATTTACAAAATAGCCTCCAACACTCTACTCAGCGAATTGGATGTAGTCTATCACAGTGCCATCCGTTTTGTCTCCAAAGCCCCATATAATAAAAAAAATAGGACCCATGAGCGGGATACGCCTCTGCCTGTCATATTTATTTGATTTATAAGGGCGAGGTCAAGTTTACAGTTGAAACTGCTTCACTCAACTCTGCCTCACACCCCACCACTGTAGAGTTTAGTTAGCTCTTGACAGGGAAGCTGACTCTAGGCCTGAGAGGGAGAACAACTCTGAACCCGAGAGGGAGAACGACTCTGAACCTAACAGGGATACTGACTGGGCCTGACAGGGGAACTGGCTGAACTGGCTGAGTGCAGAAGACTACGGACCTGATGGCAAAGTGAATGTGGGGCCTAGCGGGAAGGAAGGGAACTCTGACCCTACCAGGAAGGAAGGGAACTCTGACCCTACCAGAAAGAAAAGGAACTCCGACCCTACTGGGAAGGGACTTCTGACCCTACCGGGAAGGAAGGGAACTCTGATCCTACCGGGAAGGAAGGAAACTCTGACCCTACCATGGTGGCAGTGAACTGGACATCTAGGTTAGGGGGGACATCAGCGGTGACTTCTGGTGGGTCACCCGGGGTTATGTCTGGCGAGTTCCCCCTGGAGAGCTGGAGGATCCCCTGAGGCGAGGTCTGGGAGGTCTGGAGGTATCAGGGTCCTCGAGGCTGGAACTAGCAGGGTGCTAGCAAGTGGAGACAGCAGGGACATCAGGCCTGAGACTGGCAGGTCCCAACAGGCAGGGGCTGACAGGACCGGGCCAGCAGGAGCGGTCTGAGTCCGTGTGGCCGGAGGCTGGGTCTTGACAGCGGAAGGCTGAACTTCGAAGACAGGCCAGGGCTGATCCCACCAGGTCATGACGGGAGAGGCCCCAACATCCGAGCTGCACTTGACATCTGCAGTAGCTGCAGGCTGAGGCGCCATCCTAGGGGCAGGCAAGTCCCAGCCTACGGCCACAAGGACCAGGAGTGGGAGAGGCAGGTGGAGACTTCGTGGTTGAAGGTTCCAGGGCAGCAGACAGTCAAACCTCAGGCACCCGAGTGTCTGCCTTGACTAGCAGGGGATCCCCACTGAGAGGAGAGGACGACTTCACAACGGCCACCAGAACAGGCCCCATGGCAGCGGTTGGCTGTGGCTCCACGATTGGAGCGGGAGTTTCCTTAACTATGGCTAGTCGAGGCTCTGGCTGAGGAGGGTACAGACCTTGGTGTGGTGGAGTGTGCACTCTGGAGTTGTCTTCATCTGCTGGGGAGCTAGGTCGCTCTGGAGAGCAGAAGCGGACTTGGTGCTCCTGTAGCTTCGGGTCGGGTGGACCTAGCATGACGTCGGTCAGGGGAGCAGCTGGGCCACCCAGGGGGGAAGTGGTTAATCTGGTGAATAACAGGGCCACATCAGGACGTAGTGGAAGTCCCAATGGTCCTAGAGAGGTGGTGAATGCTCTGGTTGGAGAGGCTTGGAGTAGTGTCTCTCAGGGGAGTAGCCGGGCCGACTCAGGGAGTTTCGGCTGTGGTGGCGCTCCCGTGGCGGGCCTAGAGCGGTGGTGGTCAGGAGAGTAGCAACGGTGCCAGCGCTTCCACGGCGGTGACTCTGGCCTGGAGGTCCTAGAGCAGGAGTCTCCAACCCTGTTCCTGGAGTCTCCAACCCTGTTCCTGGAGAGCTACCCTCCTGTAGGTTTTCGCTCCAACCCCAGTTGTAACTAATCTGGTTCAGTTTATCAACTAGCTAATTATTAGAATCAGGTGTGCTTGATTAGGGTTCGAGTGAAAACCCATAGTCTCGCAGCTCATCTTCCTCTGGGAATCGATGGCCTCGTGTGTTTGGTGACTGACAATAACCCAATATGGCTTCGGACTGCAGGGTAACTCGTCTGCATCCTGGGGTGCAGAAAATAATCCTCATCTGGGTACTGGAACACCATCACTAAGTCAGAATCCGGCAATACGAAGGACCATGTTAAAACGGCTAGCTGAAGCTTGTCTGAGCGGTTGGCTAGATATCCCCTCACCCGCTAGTAACTTATGCTGATTCATTAAGACCTTATGGCTTGGTTTTTGCTCCTCTGACATGCACTGTTAGCTGTGGGACCTTATATGGACAGGTGTGTGCCTTTCCAAATCATGTCCAATCAATTGAATTGACCACAGGTGGACTCCAATCAAGTTGTAGAAACATCTCAAGGATGATCAATGGAAACAGGATCCACCTAAGCTCAATTTAGAGTCTGAATGATTGTCGTATATTGTGATATTAGCATAATTCAATACAGTGACTTCGGAAAGTATTCAGACCCCTTGACTTTTGCCACAAAGTGGGGTTCAAACAATCTACACAAAATGCTCTGTAATGTCAAAGTGGAAGGATATATATATTTATTTTTTTTACTAATGAAAAATAAAACACTAATATATCTTGATTAGAAAAGTATTCTCTAAGAGCTTTGCACACTAATAATAATAATAATAATAATAATAATAATAATAATAATAATAATAATAATAATAATATCAGAGGATTAGAAATCCAGGGCTTAAAAACAAAGGTGTCATTGTAAACGGATGATTCATGTTTTCTTTTAAATCCACAACTAGAATCCCTCCACAGCCATGATTCTGTGAAGAGACAGAATCATTAGATCATTTGTTTTGGTTCTGTCCATTTGTAGCTTGTTTTGGTGGCGCAGAAAAGGTTAGAGAGACCAAAAAACGTGCTTGAGGCCAACACTGCTAAATGTCTGAAATGAACCGACTTATTTGGTTCTGCTGGTCCGAGTACTGCAGAGGATTGGGGTGTAGTCACCGTAGGAAGAAAATAAAGACACACTGACACAGTTCATGCAGTCAGTTATGCCTAATATTTTGTCTGTATATGGTATGAAATAGCTCATTAGGGAAGAGGGGAAGAGGGGGAACATTTAGACACAAGGCTACTTACTATATAGCCTAACAAGTTGTTAGATTGGCTTTTATACAGTGCATTCGGAAAGTATTCAGACCCCTTGACTTTTTCCACATTTTGTTTAACGTTACAGCCTTATTCTAAAATTGATTAAATCGTTTTTTTCCCTCTTCAATCTGAAAAATCTGTTTTAGCAAACATTTCTAGAAACCTGCTTTTGCTTTGTCATTATGGGGTATTGTGTGTATATTGATGAAAAATAAAATGTAATCATTTTTAGAATAAGGCTGTAATGTAACAAAATGTGGAAAAAGTCAAGGGGTCAGAATACTTTCCGAATGCATTGTAACACATAGGTAAGGCAATAGCGATCTACTAGAAATGCATACAGTGATTTTTATTAAACACAAGTCATCATGTATTACAATAAAACATTGAATGAATGCATAAATTCTAAATAATCCTAATGCATATGTTAAAGGGGAAGTTGGGTGCTGTCTATGTATTCTAATTGTTTTATCAAAATGTAGGCTATTTGCTTTGCTTCTAAATCGGTCTCTTCAGCCAGTGAAGCAGCTAGGGTTTTTGAACTGTAGCAGAGAGGAAGAGCAGTGTATCTGCCCCCTCAATGGCTAGTGTGGTCCCACCTGATCTTACCTCCTCCCGCCTGCCTTCCATCTTTGAGGAAGCATTGAAGTCAACATTATTAGAGCAGTCACTCGACTTGTCAATATAATAGATCACATAATAGATCAACATGGGCCAGGGATGCTGGCCCATGTTGACTTCAATGCTTCCCACAGTTGTGTCAAGTTGGCTGGATGTCCTTTGGGTGGTGGACCATTCTTGATTCACACGGGAAACTGTTGAGTGTGAAAAACCCAGCAGCGTTGCAGTTCTTGACACATTCTTGGCACCTACTACCATACCCCGTTCAAAGGCAATTCAATCTTAAATCTTTTGTCTTGCCCATTCACCCTCTGAATGGCACACATACACAATCCATGTATCAATTGTCTCTTCTTCTTCTTTGGTATTATGGCGGTCTGCAAACAAATGTCATAGGTGCATGCCGCTGTATTGGCTGTGTATCAGTCTACTATTCTGTAGTATGAATTCATTACACTTTGTGTAAAAAAAGACAAATTAAACTAAACAAAAAAACTGAAACTAAATACAAAAACAGTTGCCTTACCAACTAACCCTGAACCAATTAAAACATCACCACTATTCCACTACCTTTGCCCCATCTGATACTACTCCAGGCCAGCAGTCTTGGAGGACGGGACACTATCATTCAAAACATCTTGTAACTCTTCGGCAGTAAAATCTCGTACACCCAAGTACTTATCTGCAGCTGCCACCACAACATCTATCCTCTGTGATTTACATTCCATTCCTGCGGTACAATTGACAACCATGACCATGAACGCCAAAAGACTAAGCTTACTGAAGCACGTTATTCCTATCACTATATATATTGGCCTCAGCCTACTTACAGAGATCCTCTTAGGATCCCTCACCCTGGAACCATCTTCCTCTACTACTCTCTTCACTGCCGTGTAGCTCAATTGGTAGAGCATGGCGCTTGCCATGCCAGGGTTGTGGGTTCGATTCCCACAGGGGGCCAGTATGAAAAAAAATATATATGTATGCACTCACTAACTGTAAGTCGCTCTGGATAAGCGCGTCTGCTAAATGACTAAAATGTAAATGTACTCTGATCCTGGCAACCTCAATCTGCCTTTCTCTCACCGGACACCTCTGATCTCTAGCACCATGGCTACAGTTTACGCACAAAACTTTTCCCACCGATACTACACATTCCTTTGTCTCATGTCCTCCTGCACACTTCTTGCTTGAGAAATTGCTCTTTGCAAAGAAGCTATTTTTGTTTCTTTTTGACCATTTTAATTGAAAACAATCATTAATTGTTACCCAGAAATGATTTGATATTGATATAAAAATGGCTGCATTGGATCTGAAATATGGAAATGATCAGTGAAATCGCCAGGTAACCTATTGTTTTGGCAAAGATGCATCCGTAGCAGATTGCTAAATCGTATTTTACATAGATAATATGAATGTAGGCTACTCTGTTTTTGCCAGGCAAAGCAGGAGAAAATGTAACAAGTGATTTCTGGGCCCTAATCTGGATATGTGCACCTGACTTAGCGCACCAATGCTGAAGACTGGTCATTCATTGTTCAACACAGGACTCACAACTTTTTGTTTCTGAAGCACAAATTAAATGTTTTTGAGACAAGAATTTGGTGTAATGCCGTAGGCCTATGTTTCTAACCAGATCGAATAGGTAAAGGTACAGTATAACTATAAAATACAAATGGTAGGCTACATGTAGCCTCTTAAAATAAGTATTTAAAAAACATTTTATTTTTGTATATATACAGTGCATTCGGAAAGTATCCAGATTTTGTTACGTTAAAGCCTTATTTTAAAATGGATAAAAAAATAATAATCCTCATCATTCTACACACAATACCCCATAATGACCAGCCGAAAACAGGTTTTTAGAACTTTTAGCAAATATTTTACAAACAATAATAAAGAAATACCTTATTTACATAAGTATTCAGACCCTTTGCTATGAGAATCGAAATTGAGCTCAGGTGCATCCTGTTTCCATTGATCATCCTTGAGATGTTTCTACAACTTGATTGGAGTCCACCTGTGGTAACTTCAATTGATTGGACATGATTTGGAAAGGCACACACCTTTCTATATAAGGTCCCACCGTTGACAGTGCATGTCAGAGCAAAAACCAAGCCATGAGGTCGAAGGAATTGTCCGAAGAGCTCCGAGACAGGATTGTGTCGAGGCACAGATCTGGGGAAGGGTACCAAAACATTTCTGCAGCATTGAAGGTCCCCAAGACACAGTGGCCTCCATCAGTATTAAATGGAAGAAGTTTGTAACCATCAAGACTCTTCCTAGAGCTGGCCACCCGGCCAAACTGAGCAATCGGGGGAGAAGGGCCTTGGTCAGGAAGGTGACCAAGAACCCAATGGTCACTCTGACAGAGCTCCAGAGTTCCTCTGTGGAGATGGGAGAACCTTCCAGAAGGACAACCATCTCTGCAGCACTCCACCAATCAGGCCTTTATGGTAGAGTGGCCAGACGGAAGCCACTCCTCAGTAAAAGGCACATGACATCACGCTTGGAGTTTGCCAAAAGGCACCTAAAGGACTCTCAAACCATGACAAACAAGATTCTCTGGTCTGATGAAACCAAAATTGAACTCTTTGGCATGAATGCCAAGCGTCACGTCTGGAGGAAACTTGGCCCATCCCTACGGTGAAGCATGGTGGTGGCAGCATCATGCTGTGGGGATGTTTTTCAGCGGCAGGGACTGGGAGACAAATCAGGATCGAGGGACAGATAAACGGAGCAAAGTACAGAGAGATCCTTGATGAAAACCTGCTCCAGAGCGCTCACAACCTCAGACAGGGGCAAAGGTTAACCTTCCAACAGGACAGCGACCCTAAGCACACAGCCAAGACAACACAGGAGTGGCTTCAGGACAAGTCTCTGAATGTCCTTGAGTGGCCCAGCCAGAGCACAGACTTGAACCTGATCGAACATCTATGGAGACACCTGAAAATAGCTGTGCAGCGACGCTCCCCATTCAACCTGACAGAGCTTGAGAGGATCTGCAGAGAAGAATGGCAGAAACTCCCCAAATACAGGTGTGCCAAGCTTGTAGTGTCATACCCAAGAAGACTCAAGGCTGTAATTGCTGCCAAAGGTGCATCAACAAAGTACTGAGTAAAGGGTCTGAATACCTATGTAAATGTGATATTTAATTTCTTTTTTTTTTAGATATACATTTGCAAAAATGTCTACGAACCTGTTTTTGCTTCGTCATTATGGGTTATTGTGTGTAGATTGATTTAAAAAACAATTACAAAAATAATCAATTTTAGAATAAGGCTGTAACATACCAAAATATGGAAAAAGTCAAGTGGTCTGAATACTTTCCGAATGCACTGTATATTATTTTATTTTCAGTTTCACTCGCGACCACCCAAAACCTCGCAACCCCCACATTGAGAACTATTGATCTATAAGCCATTTATTTAGTCAGTGATTTTCTTCGTTGAGAGAGACACACACTGACACACACGTGGCCAATACTGCAGGTAGCCTAGCAGTTAGAGCGTTGGGACAGTAACTGAAAGGTTGCTTGTTGGAATCCCTAACCCGGCAAGGTGGAAAAATCTGCCATTCTGCCCTTGAACAAGACAGTTAACCCCCACAACTACTCCCCGGGCGCCAATGATGTGGACATCGATTAAAAGCAAATTTATGCTTGCTCTGGCAATGTGTTCCGGAGGCTCCATACAGAGGGTGTGACGCAATTGCGGAGGCCAAATCGAGCTCCGTACCGCATTGCTGTGCGCCTCCGAAATTGTTTAACAATGCGGAGGGCTCCATATAGCTCTGTATGGTTCCACATTAACATGATTGGTTGACGGTAGGTGGGGGCGGGAGGTCCTGTATAAACACAATCTCTCTTCCTTAACAACTTCCTTCACAACAGCTCTGCTCTGCTTCGCAAAGCGCAAGAAATATGAATGCTGCTCATTCCGTTCACCAGCTCCGGAGGTCTACGTCACCGGCCTTCTAGGCGTCACTGACCTGGTTCATTACCACCAACCCCGGACTGTCTTGTTTCATTACGCACACCTGGTTCCCATTCCCACTGATTAGTATGTGCATATATGTGCCCTCTGTTCCCCATTGTCGATTATTGTCCCTTGTCCGTTGGTCTCATGAGTACATGGTATTACAGTTTACATGCCGAGTAATTGTGCACTTGTTATTACGGGTCTCGTTCCGTGTATTATTTACAGGTTTACACCTCGCTCTTTTGTTTGGGTTACAGCCCTGTGTTATATTATTTATATATATATATATATATATACAGTTGAAGTCGGAGGTTTACATACACCTTAGCCAAATACATTTAAACTCAGTTTTTCACAATTCCTGACATTTAATCCTAGTAAAAATTCCCTGTCTTAGGTCAGTTAGGAACACCACTTTATTTTAAGAATGTGAAATGTCGGAATAATAGTAGAGAGAATGATTTATTTCCGCTTTTATTTCTTTCATCACATTCCAAGTGGGTCAGAAGTTTACATACACTCAATTAGTATTTGGTAGCATTGCCTTTAAATTGTTTAACTTGGGTCAAACATTTTGGGTAGCCTTCCACAAGCTTCCAACAATAAGTTGGGTGAATTTTGGCCCATTCCTCCTGACAGAGCTGGTGTAACTGAGTCAGGTTTGCAGGCCTCTATGCTCGCATACGCTTTTTCAGTTCTGTCCACACATTTTCTATAGGCTTGAGGTCAGGGCTTTGTGAGGGCCACTCCAATACCTTGACTTTGTTGTCCTTAAGCCATTTTGCCACAACTTTGGAAGTATGCTTGGGGTCATTGTCCATTTGGAAGACCCATTTGCGACCAAGCTTTAACTTCCTGACTGATGTCTTGAGATGTTGCTTCAATATATAATATATCTATTTTGTGAAGTGCACCAGTCCCTCCTGCAGCAAAGCACATCCACAGCATGATGCTGCCACCCTCATGCTTCACGGTTGGGATGGTTTTCTTCGGCTTGCAAGCCTTCCCCTTTTTCCTCCAAACATAGCAATGGTCATTATGGCCAAACGGTTCTATTTTTGTTTCATCAGACCAGAGGACATTTCTCCAAAAAGTACGATCTTTGTCCCCATGTGTACTTGCAAACCGTAGTCTGGCTTTTTTATGGCGGTTTTGGAGCAGTGGCTTCTTCCTTTCTGAGCGGCCTTTCAGGTTATGTCGATATAGGACTCGTTTTACTGTGGATATAGATTATTTTGTACCTGTTTCCTCTTCACAAGGTCCTTTGCTGTTGTTCTGGGATTGATTAGCACTTTTCGCACCAAAGTACGTTCATCTCTAGGAGACAGAACGCATCTCCTTCCTGAGCGGTATGACGGCTGCATGGTCCTATACTGTTTATACTTGCGTACTATTGTTTGTACAGATGAACGTGGTACCTTCAGGCGTTTGGAAATTGCTCCCAAGGATGAACCAGACTTGTGAAGGTCTTCAATTGTTTTTCTGAGGTCTTTGCTGATTTCTTTTGATTTTCCCATGATGTCAAGCAAAGAGGCACTGAGTTTGAAGGTATGCCTTGAAATACATCCACAGGTACACCTCCAATTGACTCAAATTATGTCAATTAGCCTATCAGAAGCTTCTAAAGCCATGACATCATTTTCTGGACCCACTGGAATTTTGATACAGTGAATTATAAGTGAAATAATCTGTCTGTAAACAATTGTTGTACAAATTACTTGTGTCATGCACAAAGTAGATGTCCTAACCAACTTGCCAAAACTATAGTTTGTTAACAAGAAATGTGTGGAGTGGTTGAAAAATGAGTTTTAATGACTCCAACCTAAGTGTATGTAAACTTCCAACTTCAACTGTATGTGTCTGTGTGTTTGTTTTGGGCTTTGTCCTTGTCGTTTTCCATGATGTACCTTATGTTGGGTTGAGTAATAAAAAAAACTATTACGTATTCCTGCGCCTGTCTTCTATCAGTATACAACGTGACAAATGCTCGGACTTCTGCAGAGGCCAATGCAGACTTCGGATTGACCATGCAGAGTCTTTAATAATAATCTATATCGTGCTTTTCATAGAATCTGAAAGCTCTTCAACAGCAAAAAACAAACAAGCAATATATCCTGACAGGTCAACCAATAGAGGCCAAGTCTTTGAAAGCTGCATCCTCCGAAGATGGAGGGTCCATTCATGGCTTGAGCGGAGAGAGCTGGTCAGAGTATGGTAGATGATGGTTATGGAGTCTGCTGATGATCTTGTAGAGGGCAAGCCTGGGAACCAGCCTGAGTCTTATAGCCACTGAATTTATCTTCTACTCTGGGTAGCACCCACTTGGGTGATGTCTCAGCAGCTCTGGGCACCAGAAAGCTCACCTCACAAAGTTCAGAATAGTAGCCAGTCGTCCTCACTACGAACACCCTCCTGCACCTCTCTGATTCAGATGGGTTGAGTTAAATGCGGAAGACACATTTCGGTTGAATGCATTCAGTTGTGCAACTGACTAGGTATCCTCTTTCTTTACCTTTCCATCCCAGCATATTCTGTAGAATTCATAGTATATTATGTATTCCTATTACCCTTCCTCCTTCTTTTAAAATGTGTTTCTATTACTTGGTTGTATTTATGTGTGTGTGTGTGGTGTGTGGCACTGTTGAGGAGAGCCTGTGAGTAAGCATTTCGCTGCAACATTTACGTCCTGTATTCTGGGCATGTGACCAATAAACTTTGATGACAGCCCAGCACTAATTTGCTAAATAAGGCATTTATAAGGTATTATAAGCCAATGGTAACCTATTAGGCATTTATTCAGTATTTGTTCTTCTTTATCTAATAAATGTGTTTATTCATTCACAACTAGGATTGTTGCTGGGCTCAGTATAGGCAGTGTGGTCCCCTGGTCTTCTGGTACCAGAGCCATGAGAAAGGATGCTAGGCTTAGCAAAGACGGCTCAGGGACAAGTGCAGTGGTGGTAGGAAGAAAACAGAGGGAGAGAGACACACAAATGTAATACCAATTCCTTAATATGTAATAGTAATTACCACTAGGGTATGATGTGTGGCTAAAATGCCAGGGCTGAATTTTTGTCCCAGTCCGCCCATGCTTGCCATAACAAAGGGGTTGAATACTTTTTGACTCAAGACATTTCAGCTTTTTATTTTTTATTAATTTGTAAAAATTATAAAAACTAAATTACACTTTTACATTATGGGGTATTATGTGTAGATCAGTGACACAAAACCTTAATGTAATAAATGTTATTTTCAGGCCATAACACAACAAAATGTGGAACAATTCAAGGGGTGGGAATACTTTCTGAAGGCACTCTACATATTGGTATGTTTAATCATATAAATAGATACATTATATTATGGTTTTCTTGGTAGCCTATTGGTTTCGTGGTTGTAAATGGAGTAGTATGTATTGGAAACATATTTATGGTAGACTGGCATTGCTTAATTGATTATGTGGGTGTAATTTGATCCACAGAAGTGTATTGTGCCATATCACAACGTGTTGTTGAACTCATGAGTAGCATGATTTTCCAAGTTTGAAGCGGGCTTATAGGCCTATTTATTTGGCAAGACAACTGTGCATAGTTGCATCTCACAGTGGGAGGCTGTAGGCTATGTTTTTTTTACTGCATTAGTTTACTGTTAATGTAACTAGCCTAAATATACTGTAGATTGTGTCATGTCTTTATCAATCTGATATTTGGTTACTAGGCATACTACTTGGTACTGCTGTTTTGTTCTGTTCATTCATTCGTTGCAGTCGCAGTTGTGTCAGTAGGCTATTCTAAGCCAAACTGCTATTCAGTAGCCTATTTTTGTTTGCATGCATGAATAACTAGGCTACAAGGCTACTTTCAGCATTTAGTTTATATTATTTTGGTAAGACAGCTGTGTGTATGGCTGCATTCACATAGGCTGTTTATAATAGGTAAATTACCCTATCTATCTTGTAGCCTATATTCTTTACAAAACGGCCTTGCTTTGGTGTGTAGGGCGCTGTCCATTGTGCTGATACAGCGCAGCAGAAATACTACAGATTTTGCGCCAACCTACCTGTCACTTCAAAAGCACTCAATGATCTCTGAGTCTCAGCATTTGAACTTTATGTTTATTTTGATATAGTGTGATGTAAGCAGAATTCAATATAATTCCAATGCAAGAACCCCCAAAAAATGTGCCTCCTCATCGATTTCGACTGCCCCCTTAGTCACTTTATCCTGCTGTCGGGTCTGCGTGAGCGGCCTCGGCCATAATGGTCTGTTTAAATCGCCATTCCTAACACACATTGATCTAAGCCAAATCGATCCATTTGAACTATAGACTTGATGCTGGCGACAGGGGATTTACATAGAACCTAGGACATGCACCCTTTGCCATAAATTGTTCAGTGTAATCAACACGAGAACTGTCTACAGTCAATCATTTCAAGGTAGGCCTAAGAGGTTCAAATGGACTTACTTTTCGGGCCTCGTCAGCATCGCCATCCATGCTATAGGCCTAGGCCTACTTCGGTCTCCAAGATGAGCCCGTAAAACATCGTACTTCATCTGAGATCGCCAAAGCTTGAATGCTGCTGAATATTGAACTGCTGGGTTTATAATAGCCCAGGCATAGAAATAAGAATGAATAGAAAGTGCGTCTCCATTCAAGTCAATTATGGCATAATGGGTAGACTGGCAGCCATTTTGATTGTACCCATGCCAGGACGAAAAAGCAGGAAGTGTAGCCTTCAATCTGTGCTGTGATTTGTTGAGTCTGTGATTTGTTTTTTGTAATGTCAACTCAACTGACATTACAACAAAATACATTCCTTTGCATGAGCCACATCAGTTAGCATCATTTAAATGAACATTCTACATTACCATGGCAATCCAGCATCAGTTGATATAACATTCAAACATACCATGGAAATGATTGCATCACAATACCAGGCAGCCATTGGGAGTGTACCCATGAGTTTACCAGTCTATTGCCAGGGTTAGAGTTCCAAGCCCATTCTATTCATTCTTATTTCTA